TATAATACAGACACTGCCCATTGTAGCATAGAGCCTGGTGCTCCCTCGTGTTTTTTTTTTTTCTCTTCTCTGACGTGCTTCATCTCAGTTACCTTCATAGGATTTTCTTCCTTTTGAAAATAGTTATGGGGTTGGGTTCTCTTCATTTCTCTGTATGCTTTTTCTTGCTGATCTCCTGTCTTTGCTATCTTCCGGGTTTTAACTGTTTTCTCTTTGCCAGTTAACTTTTATACCTGAGCCAGCTCTGGGCTTTCTCTGAAAGTTCACATACATTCTTTCTATTTTCCTGTTGAGTAGTCCCCTGTGAGTTTTATGTACGTAATTTTTCTTATGACAACCTTTCTCCAATGGTTTTCTTCTTAAAAATGTTTCAAAATTACATTAATATTATTGTGTGGATTGGGACTATATCTGTGTGCCACAGTACATGTGTGGAGATCACAGGGCAACCTATAGAAGTCAGTTTTCTCATCCCACTATAGGGTCCTAGGGATCACACTCTGTTTTACAGGCTTAGCCACCAGTGTCTTCACCTGCTGAGTCATCTCACTGACCCTGTCAGCTGTTTTCTTGCCTTCACTACCCTCTTCTTTTAGATAATAAATATTGGCACTATTCTAATATTTGTGGCTTCTTATCAGTTTTACTGACCTGTCTGTTTTTTCAGACTTTTGTGTTCTAACCTGCCATATGTGGCCTCCATCTGACCTATCTCCTTTCTTTGTATCAGAAGAAAAATATAATTGTGAGTCATGAGACTATTTTGATATACAAATCAATAATGAATCAAAAGCATCCCAATATAATTGTAAAAATACTTTTTGTATTTAATTTTGAATGGATAAACAAAAATAGTAATGCATTCATTTTTAATTTAATCTTGATGACACATAAAAGTTTTGCCGTACAGTGTTAAAAAATAGCTAATATGTGTAGTCCTGAGTCTTTAGAAAATTATGTGAACAATGAAAGTATGAAAAAATGCTTCATTTGTATTTTCCCACATAACTGTCAATATCATATATTGTGTTTGCTTTGGTTTTAGCAAATGTCTTCATTGAGTTAGTTAATTGTTTGGTGTTATCCCCTGAGAGTCTGCCTAACTGTGTCACTTTGTGAAAGAGATTCAATCCCTTTGGGATTGCCTATTCACCAACAAAACTCAGTTTTTAAAAAACTGATGGTTTGGAAATTAGAATAAGAAAATACTTTATTAATTTGATCTCTTTTAAGTAGAATGTAATGGCAAGTAAAGCTAGAATTGCACTGTTAAGGTCTTTACAAGCTCCCATTTCTTCTGTATTCATTGCTTTGTCTCTCCTGTACCAGTTGTTTCTAGTTCATGGTACCCAGAATTGCATTTGAATGTGGATATGAGGCATGTCATGTTGTATAGTGAAAAGGTCAAATGCCAGAGCTGGAGAATGATAGAGCAGATCCTCTGTTCCTCATTTCTGTAGGATTGGGTTTACTTCCTTCTTGTTTTTCCTGGGACTGTTGTTGTGAGGTTGGTGGTGGAAACACATGGTAGCGTTGGGGTGTTCAAGTCATAGGAAAGGTGGAACACAGCATTTTGCAATTGTTTGTAACAAAAAAAAAGGACTTGTGCCTTGGGCTGTTGTAGAAAATCCAGAGACCTGGCCATGATTTGGTGTATATAATGTGGAAGGTGATACTGGAAAAGGAGAGAAAAGACAGTTATGGTCAGGATACGCTCTCCCAAGGCCAGATAGGCAGTTTGGTCATTAGCCTGAGGACTAAACTTCAGCTTCTTGTTCTCATCATTGGGTGGGGCGGAATGAGTAGGGGTGTGTATGTGAGAGGAACTGCTCTTGCAAACTCTGACACATGTTCTGGAACCATGGGACCTTGCAGCACTAGGGAAGGAACAGAGCAGTCACCTTGCTTATGTTCAAACTTGGTAGTTGTAGATAACACAGCAGGGATAACCGGCCATTGCTGTAAGTGTGGAGTCAGTTGCCATAGGGAGGTCTTCATCTTTCACTACTTATGTTCCAATGACTATATATCACATCTTTTATAAAATGCACAATATTTGATACTATTAATGGAAACACAAATATTGTCAATAGAAGAATGATAAAACATTTTCACTTCACTTAACACATGACTGTTACTTTATGAGAAAGTAAGGAACTGGGGATGTTACTTCAGTCATATGTGTTTGCTTCATTGGTAATAAACCCACTTGCCATGCTGTGCCTAACATTTACAATCATTTTAAATTTCATTCTTATATCTTTATCCTTTGAACACAATGTAAACAGCAAGCAAAATGAACACACCTAGGTTTCATGTGGCTCATAACACACAGACATCAAATGAGAACAGCTTGCATTGAGAACCAATGAGAGCTCTCTCACTACCATAGGTTATAGGACAGTGTGATAGGGTAGCTACTGTCTAACATTCCTCTCATTTCTGCTGCCCCCTTCTTTTGAGACCAAGTATTGGTGCCCAAAGCTGGTTTTAAATGTTGATCTGCTGCCTCTACTCTTGAGTGCTAAAGATCACAGATGTGAGCTCTTGTGTCTAATCAAAATTCTTTTTTTTTTAACTTCGAACCTCTTTTATCCTTTTTAATAGTACATAGTGTTTCATAGCATGGTTCCTTCCTGTGGACATTCAACTTATTTTCAGAGTCTCATTTCCAATAATAATGCAGTGAACCCTCTGTACTGCCACTTCATACATGTTGATTTGACAATTTTGCTTATAGAAATCTTTGCATGCATGTAAGAATTTTTTAAATATGTAAAAGGAATATTTTAGAATTGGTGAATTATTAAAAGTTTTTATTATTGTCATTTTTAAAAGTGAAAATAAGCAACTTGTAACTTTGAAGTAGCAGGGCAGGCTTATGAGGAAAGGAAGGCTGAGGGTATATTGACATCTCTTGATTGCCTGCCATGCAGCTGTATACATGGTGAGAAACTAACAATAAAGAAAGAAATGAGCATATGGCTCCAACC